TGTTGAATTTAACACAAATCTTCCAATTGTGTAGATAGAATATTGGGATGGTTTAGATCCTTGGTACCCAAGAGATAAGTGGCACGCATTCGATCCAATGCTGCTTTCAGAAGGAGCATTCGCAGCCGGAATGATATTTAGGTAATTTCTGTAAACGCGCGCGCATTTGGGAAATGTTTTTTATCGATTAATATTCAACCCACACGTCATACGCATGGATGTATTTCAGCTTTCTAAAACTTGTCCATATATTCAGCGTGAATCCTCATCTTGGGCCGCTCCAGATTTCCCTCGGGAGGATGATAATAGATATTATCAAGTTCTTTTTCATCTACACCCTCGTGCTATTCGCCTTTGGCTGCGGTAAGTAACGCATCTGCCCGATTTAGTCATTCACCGAAGTTTCGTTATTCATAAGCCTTGTCATACGTACTAATTAAAAAATCATCCCACTTTTACTTCTTGGACAATACTGGTAATCTCCTGGTTCAGTGCGATCGCAAAGTGGAAAAAATGTAAAGCAGGATGACGCCTTAAATTTATGTTTTATTTTTAGGCATGAATCAGTTGATGTGGTATTATGCTGACTTAGAAAAAAAGAAATGCTATCACATATCCGACGAGCTGCCGGATTTCGATAATCAGGAGAAAGCCTGCTCCATATGGAGAAGATTTACCAAGTACGAAGACCGAAAATACTCATTTCTGTAGAAATTTCCGACAAGAGATTTAATTTGATTTCTGCTTTCAGCTTGTTCGAGACATCACAATCTCTCTTTTGGGCAAGTTTTGGCATGATTGATTTAATGTCGTTCGATCTGACAGGCATTAAAAGCTTTACACGATTCTGGGCGCTTCTCATGTTTGGTTCTTATTCCGTGATAAACGTCATTGTGCTATTGAATATGCTGATTGCTATGATGTCTAATTCTTATCAAATTATTTCGGTAGAATCAGTCAATTTTTTTTAAGATATCTTGTCAGTAAATATATATAAAAATTATTCAAGGAAGAGCAAGAAGTGTCTGTATGGACAAATTGAAGAAGAAATTTGCAAATTTATTTCAGAAAGCAGTAAATTTCTCTCAATGAGAAATTATTTTCCTTTTTTTAAGTTATTTAAATAGATTTTCATTTAAGCCTTTTATATTTATATTTAATTTGAACATACAAATCTCCTGTCTTTCTTTAATTAATTTTTATATTATAAATTTTTATAATAATTTTTTATAGTAATTTTTATAATTATTTAATTTTTACACAATATTGTTTGTTAAAATTGACATTTAACACCTCACATCAGTTATATATTTTTAGGAAAGATCTGATACAGAATGGAAATTTGCCAGGAGCCATTTATGGATGAGTTATTTCGAGGATGGCGATACTGTACCACCGCCATTTAATATGATTCCAACAAATAAAACTTTCCGAAAGCTATTCAAATGTAGAGGCAGCGATCATTCCACAAAATCTTTTATAGTAAACAATTTTTATCTATTAAAGTATTTCAAAATAACAGAATGTTCTTTTCATTAATTCCATTTGCTCAATTTGCATTTTTCAAAAAAATTTATGAAACTCATTTGAAACTACAATTCATTTTTGTACGTATAATTTTATATTTAACGATTATAAATAAGAAATTTTTGACGAATTATATCCTATTACAAAAAATAAAATAACAAAATTGTATTCTTTTGTATTCTTCTAATTTTAAAATGGATTGCATTTTAACAAACTGTTTATTTAAAATAATATATAGAAGAATAAGACTCCTAAGAAATTGACAATTTTATTGACAATTTCATGAGTCTTTACGTTTAATTGTATTCACGCTGGCTGAAAGAATGCGAAAAGATATACGTATCGGACAACTCCTTTTTCATTAATATCGAAATTATTCGACGCATTTTACTATTGACAGTTATTAATTCAAAACAAAATTATTTATATTATTTAATTATTTCATTTCAGAAAAAATCTCGAGAGAAAGCTATGATTAGACATGACACTGTAGTGCGTCTACTTATACGTCGTTATGTGACGGCCGAACAAAGGAAACGAGATGAGTTTGGAATTACGGAAGATGATGTCAGGGAAATTCGCCAGGACATTTCGAGTTTTCGATATGATCTGATCGATATCCTTAGGAAAAACGGAATGTGCACACCAATGCTCGATAAAGAAGAAACAAATAGTCAGTATATTTACATGTAATCAACCTATCATTTATATAATAATCGATCATAAATGTATTTTGTCTCGTGAAGAATCATTTTCTATTATTTTGCGCCTATCAGCTATTCTTTTCGATCACTCGGATCGTTTATTTGTTTCGCTTCGCGTCGAGTTCGGTCGAATTTACTCGTCGATTTTCGGAAGCACTGAATTTGTATGATTCGCCTAAAAGTAAGATTTCATTCTTTTGGAGTGAAAGTTTACTCAAAGAAATGAAGTCTCACTCCAAAAAAAAGAGTGAAATTCCATAATTCCTTTGGAGTGAATCTCATTCCAAGAGTGAAATTTTACTCTAAAAAAGAATGAAAATCTACCATTCTCGTTCGAAATTTTCATTCTTTTTTTCAAGATTAGCTCAATTTTTATTCCAAAAAATTTAGAGAGTAGATCTTCAGATCAATTCAATAAATGTTTAGATAGTAGACGTCGCCTACGAAATCGGCCCAAAATGTATAGATCATTGCGAGTATTTTAAAGTAATGCATTTTAAAAGCAAGTACACTTATAGAATATAATTTTTTATACTTTTAAAGTACCCGGGAAAAAAGGCAAAGTGATGGAACGCCGACTCCAGAAAGATTTCCAGATCGGTATTGTGGAGGGCATCGTGCAAGCTGTTATTCAAAGCGAAAAAGAGCCAAAGGACGTGTTTAGTCAAATCGCAAGGGCGATTGGACGGAAAGGGAGCGGAGTCGGTAAAAAGGACTGGAACGCCGTAGTAAGGCAAAGCACCATCGCCATGGATCCTATCGGAAGTACAAATGAAGCGATGCAACGTCAAACCCGGCGTAGTTTACGTCGCCAACTGCGACATCAGCCGGATTCCGATCTAGCATCCATGGATCCGAAACGGCTGCTCGACTATAATCCGAATCTCTCGGATTTCACTCCGATTACTAGAATAGCCTATGCCAAGTTCATGCTAAGCAAGAACAAACCGGATGAGCAGCTCGATGGTACATTTATGTTTAAATTCTTTATCATTGATGTTATCTGATACCTTCTTGGTTTCCAATTTAAACTTCACTTACAGAGACGTCGAAATAAATTCCATGTAATATCTTGCATCAATCTTTTATCGATATATGAATTTTTTGTCAAGTTTAAATTAACTTTCTCATAAAAAATTTAATAAATTGACATGTACTTCTTTACAATTCTTATTTAACTTTCAAATAATTGCATGAGACTTTTTTAATCTTAAATCCTTCCAATGCTTTCTCTCATCGACTAAGAGCCTTATAATTTTATAATTTTTTATTTAAATATTATTTATTCGCAGAAACAAATGATAATGAAACTGAGGAGACTCCTCGAAGAAGCAGTAAAGTTATGATGACGGAAACTTCTACGAATGTGGTTCCACGATCACCCATTGAAACGTTTAAGAAAAGTCTATTAAAGTCTACAAACAGTAGTGTGAACAAACAAGCAGGACTCATTGCTAAAGCTGAAGTTAAATCACCATCACCTGAGGATTTCGTAGGAGAAGAAATAAGTAAGCAATCGATATCATCTGCTACGTTCAATCAAGAGAAAAAAGTCGAAGAAACGGAAAATGTCCAAGAGCAACAGCAAAAAGAAAATGAAGAAATAAGCGAAAGAGAAACATTAGACGAGCAAAAGGAAGAAGAGACGGAAAATGTCCAAGAGCAACAGCGAGAAGAAAATGAAGTAACGACCGAAAGAGAAATATTAAACGAGCAAAAGAAAAATGATAAGCGTCAACAGTCGAAAAATACAAAGGGAAATAATAGTGATAACACTGGACAGACCTCGGAAGTAGATAAGAAAATTGATACGAAAAAATATGTCGAATCTGACATAACAGGAAAGAAATTTGAAGTTCCAGTTCAAACTACAAAATTGCAAGGAAAGTCAAAAGCGACCGGTCGAGTAATAGGAGGTTGGATTTAATTGAACATTTTGATGCGCTCCAGCAAGAGACACAGTGTAACATAGTGATCATTTCATCTTTGTTTATCATTGACAAACAACAAAGATACTATGATTCACTGTGTTACACTGTGTCGTCTGTGTCTTCTGTTGAAAGCATTATTTATCTTATTAATTAAATAAATATCTATTTAAAATTATTTATATATTTTTTTATTTAAATATATAAATATTTAAATATATAGCTTATTAAACTTAAATATATCTCCTTTTATAGAACTTCGTATTTATTTTTAACGTCTATTAATGATGTACTTACATCAACAAGCATTAAGCACTAATTGTATTGTTACGTAAAATTTACAGATTTTAACGTCATTCAGCATCATTAAGATCGTTCTAAGATGCAAAAAAAGATCAAATTGTTAAATTGCTAATATCAATTTAACTCGTGATATTACTGCGGTAGAGTTCGCGTTTTAAGACCGAAAAATCATTCCGGCAGTTTAAAGGACTACATATTATATATAATTCATACAGAATTATACAAGCACTTAAGATCCAGCTAGTTACTATTAAAGGCATTTATTTCTATTGATTGTGTTTTTACATGTACAGTCGGATAAGATTTATTATTTAATTTTGTTAAATAAGTTTAATTTAATTAATGTCAATCTTAATTTAAAAAGTGATATCAAATTACAAAACTTCTCAATGAGATTAGATTATTTGTAACAATGGAAATTCCGTTGAATAAAAAATTGACTGTACAGTGTTCATGAATACGATAAGTAGATGACTCGTATTGATGGATGTAATTAGCTCTATCGGTTTTCCTTGTTTATTCTTATATGCCCGTAATGTCACGTACAAGCGATAAGACGGTTTTTAATTTTGATGATTCTTATCAGTAGGACAATATACACGTCATAAACGATGCTGTATTTAGATAGCGAATGTAACATAAATAACATGTGATAAATACAATTATATATTTAAAATAATTTTAGCAATTGATATTTACAACGCGTCCTTTAATATGTACATTTGCCGCAGAACAATCTTAAGAAAGGCCTAAAATATGAAAATAGCAAAATTAATAATAAGAAGTGCTTGTGTTTTATCTATTAACTCGCATTGTTACATTATTGCTAAATTAATTCCTTCTGCGTTAAAAAATTTGTATATTACTACATGTATAACGTTTGTGTAATGCTTCTTTCCTCTTATGGAAGAATTGCTTCTCGGAAAGATAAAGTTTTTGTGCCATTCAGTATGTTATTTAGTGAAATTAAACGATATAAGCATTTTTTCGCATTATGAGATTAACAGTATAAATATTAATATTACTGATTGAATACCTTCGTTTTTGCTTATCCACTCCTTTCATTTTTATTCCGTTAGCAGCGCGCTTCTTCATTCTGTTAACTTTTTTATCTTCCTGTAATGTGATATATCATATACTGTGACATTATCACATTCAATGTATCATATGAGGTAATATGACCCATGGTGGAAGAAACCCAAATGTGTTATTGCACAAACATTTTCTAACAACTAGGACCATTCCTAGATTCATTGCTCCCGGGTACAAATATCCCGCAACCACCATTTTATTTCACGTTGCAAATCCAAGTGATTTTTGTTAATCTTTATATAGTGAAAATAAATAACTTTTTCGCGCAATTCCCTTATCGACTGAACAGCGGAAAAATTCGAAATGATTCCTATCTTAATCCAATCCAAATCCAAGCAGAACAGCAAGTTACGATAACGTTAAAATAACATTAAAACGAATCAGAAATGATTGAAAAATGACTTTTATCATTTTGGAGTCAATATGATATCATAATGATTCGTTGTTCTGTTTGGGAAGCCACTTTGAGATGATTACACGTACATATTGTTACATCGATAATTGATACAAATCAAGCAACTTATTACAAACATTTAACAATTTATTGCACAAGCGTTCCTCAAATATTTAATAATACACATACAGCTGCAGATTGTTTTTTCGTATTTATATTTCACAGAGTACTCAAACTATAGAGATGAAGCACAATATATTCGACAGCGTATATCACAAAATGAAAAATCTGATATACCAGAGAGTCTGAGAGCGATAATAATTAACTGTTACCAAATCCTATAAGTAATGTCTACGATTTTGGGATTCTCTGCTATATGCTATTACATGGTAAGACATGAGACAAAGGCAATCAAACGTTTTTATCTAACTGATCTAATAGCATAGAAGAAAATTACAAAATCGTGGATACTACTTACGATTTCCGATTTGCTAAATTGTGATCATGACATAAAATTAATGAATGCTTACATCTTTAAGTTCACCGACCAAATACTTTTTGAGCATCTTTGTCGCATCTGAAGAATGTCCGGATTCATCAAATCCACTAGTCGCGTCTTTTCCTGCGTATTCGTCGATTAATTCTGAACCACCAGGATGCTGTAAATAATTTCTCCCTATACTTAATTTAAATCTAATTTATTAATTTATTTTTATGTACAAAGGGGATAAGATCAAATGTTTCGATCAGATTTTGAGATTTTTATATACAGAGAAAACAATGTAATTGGCCTACTTATTACAGAAAACTCTTGAAATAAGCTACAAGAATATGCAATAAAAAATACTTCTATAGAGGATTACATTAAAAAATGTTATGTAACCTTGAGGAATTTGATCTTAAGAACATCTTAAGCTCAACAAAGGTCATCATCTTCTTTCCTCCTCAAAACTCTACAATTTTTGTGTGTGTCTGAAATATTTTTCTCTAAACCTCCACAATTTCCAAATATTTGACTGTCAAATATAAAATGACACCCGTCCATATATTCTTTCTCTATACGTACAATTTTGATATTAATGTTATTGATATTTTCTTTTTAGTTAAAATTTTTAAGTTCTTTTTACATAATTCAATTTTTTTTGCTTATAAAGGCATTAAAATAAAATGATGAAGAAATTAATCATTCATAAAATGTCTTATATCTTATATTTTAATATATTTTTATGTAAAATATAAAATATTATGTACAATATTTATTTTCTAATCTTATTTTAATGCTTTTTTTATATATAGAATATAGAAAGAATTTAATATATGTAAAAAAAAATTTAATTGCATTTAGGAAAAAATATACAATTTTACAATATATGTACCTCTTGCATATATTCCGTTACATCGTAAATGTTATCATGGATGACGATCCAGGTTTTCGCTCCGTTTTTGCCGTTACATTTCGCAACATCAGCGAGCGAATAGCAAATTGTCGAATAGGACATTCTTCAACTAAATTTTGCGAGAAGAGAGAACTTGTTCACATCCGCAATACAAGTAAAATGTTGCCGATGCTCCGAGGACTACGGTACTCTCGGAAAATACGAAAGATAAGCATATCGCGATTTAGAAAGGAATGTAATATTGTATCTATAGATAACTGTGATTCTATTTTCTTATTGTCTCAATTCATTATTTTATCGTGCAACTGATGCAAAAATGTCACATTGTTGTAACTTTCCCATAGATCGCAATTGTAATTTATTATATCAATTATTAATGATGTACGTCACGAAAACGCATTCGCGATGTATTATCAAAGGCGCAACAACAAGAAATGTATTCAGTTTTAATTGCACATTCTACTCAATTGTGCTTATTTAAAAAAAGTAAAAATTCAAGTAAAAGTTTTATATTTTTGAAAAGGAAACTAAGATGTTTCATGATGGAAGAGACACCACCATAGACTTCTTCCTTCATAAAATGCTTAATTTGCTTCGCGAAGTATATTATATATATCTGATATTCAGATATTTGAGAATAGAATATTGCTCGCAAGTAAGAGTGTGGTGCTCGTAAGAGGACGAATACAGGAAAAGGAAATATTATAGCAACACATATCTACAGATAAGATGTTGTGAAAAGTGAAAGAATAAAATATATATAGGCTATGTTCATAGTTTTTATTTTAAAACCATCTTAAGTAATGTTTTGTATGGATTTTCTACAATAAGCAGTTATCTAAGCTTTAATCTGAAACCGTAAGAAATTGATCAATCATAATCAATTCTTCTTCTCACATTCGACTGTAACCGGTCAATTTCTTACGACTTAAGACTTAAAGATAGTGGCTTATTGTAGAAAGCCCATTAATTAATTTATTAATACGGCTCCGATTAGCTTATAGATTGTAACAGCTTAAGACTGTACTTAAGACGGTCTTATAAATAAAAACCGACTATAAATACTAATATAATTATTTTATTTTTACAAAATAATTTAATAGGAGTCAAAATAGTAGGAATTAAATAATCAATGGTAAAGAGAAAATTCCTAATTTCTAAAAATAATTTGTTTACCTTATACGTATATTATAGAAATAACAATACATATATGCATATGCTGCATAATTAAATGTTCATGTTATTGTACAAAATAATTATTAAATTTTTTTTATCTTACTTTATATTAAGATCCAACCGAGGATTCATACCATTTCGACTTTTTCAAATCAATTCCTTTTAACTTGTTTCTATAATTATTTAGAAGCTTATTGAAATTTGCATCATCTGCATCAAACTTCTTCGTTTTTTTCAACTAAAAAAAATAATATAAGTTATAAAATCCGTATTCTGATATTCACTGTCAATGGTGAAAATTTATAATGCACGTAATATATACCAGATTTTAAGCACTGACATTAAAAGGCAACCAAAAAAATCCATAAATAAAAAAATTCTATATAACTAAAATAAATTTATTGTACAAAAAATTTATTTTAGTCATATATTTAAATTAAATTAAATAAAAAAACTATAATTAATATCTTACTGGCACGCTGTCTTGTCTTTTCTTTATCTTTTCTTGTTTTACAATGTTGAATTGCTTAGCCGCTTTATTCAGCTTCTTCTGCTTTTTTACGGACATCGTATGTAATTCGGCTTGTGACTTGAGATTAAAGTTTGACCTTAATTTATCCTGACCTAATTTGCTGATCATGCCTGCATATGATCTTTCTTCTTGATCATTTAATTTTCTAACTTTAACTCGTTTAGTTGGAATTTCTTCCTTGTCCTCATTTTTCTTTTTATCTTTGTTTCCAGACCACAACGGATTGTGCTCGCGACTTTTTTGAATTCTTCTTTCTTTCGCATTCACTAAGATACGATTTTCTATTGAGAATCCAACTATAGGTCTCTATATCAAATTTATAAACTAATATATAAAAGGTCGAAATAATTAATAATAATAAAAATAAAATTATAATCTTACTCTGCTTTTAGAAAATATATTTGGATTGTTGTTTATACTTCTTAAAGCTTTAAGTGCATCTTCGTGAGAAGTAAATGTAACAAAGCCATACTCTTTTGATTTTCCTTTCCCCGTCGCATCAATGTTTTTCAAATCACGCATAACTCGCGCCTTAAAAATTGCAAATAAAATTAATTAATGCCTATATAATTTCAAATGTCATTAGAAAAGTAATACTTATATATTCTAAATAAAATTACTTCTTTAATTATAGCCTTAGGACCACTGTGATTTTTAAATAACTGTCTAAGTTTTTCGTTATCAAAATTGGAAGGTAAATTATGAACAGCCAGCCGCACTCTCGATACAAACATATTCAAGTTACGTAACATCTGTGATTTCCATTGCTCTAATTTCAAACGTTTTTCCATATCGGATACTGACACTTCCGCTGCAGCTGGACTTTTGGCAAGCACAACTAAAAAGCAACAACGGTGATGTTAAAATTACTTTATATAGCATAATAATATTTTACAATCAGATCATTACCTCCTTCTTTGATAAGATATAAATTCCTAGAATCTTTAATTTTTTGTCCTTTTAAATTCTTTTTGTCTTCAACTTCATTTCTACGTAATGCTCTGTGAGCTTCGATTATTTGCTCACGTAAACGTAATTCAGTTCCAGCTGACAAACAATTTTCGGCGTCTTCAACACGCTGCATAATAAAATATTTCTTATAATGATAAACAAAACTAAATTAAATGATTTCAAACATACATCTAAAGATAAATCGTCAATATTTATCGAATGAACTACTCTTACTTGAAATTTAACAAATGCGGTGCCTCTAGAATATTCGGTTAAAGGATCTATACACACGAGAGCATAGTAGACAGGTCCAAATTGCTCCATACACTTTTTAAGTTCGTCATTTTTTACAGAGAATGGTATATTTTTCAGAAAAATTGTTTTTCCTTCATTAACATCATTAGACACTCGATTTGAACGTTTTACAGAATATTTTTCTTCATGATCAATATTTTCTTCTTTAATAACAGATCTATCAATTACATTGGAATCATTATCATCATTACTGTCATCACTTTCATCTTCATCATCAGTATCTTCTGCTTCGTGTATTTTTATCTCATCATCAGATTCAGTCTCCTCTTTTATACTTTCCACTGTAACTTCTCTAGAAATTGTAAAACTATTTTTAAAAAGGAAAGACAGAGAGAAACAAATTATTTAGAGAAAACTAAAATAAACAATTTAAGAAATATATAGATAATATCCAGGATTGGCAAAGTTACTTTATAACTCGTTGCCGTTACCATTATTTTTTCTAAAAAGTAACTCGTTGCCATTATTAAAAAATTAACGAGTCTATTCTTCTTACTTTTTTTTAATAGATATACAAATTTTTTTTTTTGCAGTAAATATAAATAGAAAATCATAGAATTCTGTCTTCTAGTAAAAAAATAAGATTCAAAATCTGATAAATGTATATTAAAAAAATAAAATTTTAATAAAACTTTAGATTAAGATAGACCTCATCAATTTCAATGATCTTTACATATGTTGTTACATTCTAACACAGTTCAAGATACACAGTTTTAGATACCTATCTGATTCAGCATCATCATTTTTAGTGTTAGAAGATGCATTTATTTCTGAAATATTATGTACTTCATCCTCGTCAATAGGTTCAGTTTTAACTTCTACCTTCATGTCATTTGTATCGCTTTGAAAAAACTTTGTTTTAGGAACAGCCCAGTCGACTATCATAGGCCTGTTTAAAAGAGGTAGCATATTTGCATAATGTATAGCCTTTGCAGCATTTTGTACAATATTATATTGTAAGAACGCAACTCCAGCTGGTTTACCATCAGGTTTGGTCAAAATCTTTATTTCCTCTATTTCGCCATATTGAGCAAAATGTTCTTTCAAATGAACTTCTGTAACCTACAAAGAAATTGAAGACTGTAGCCAAATGTAATCAAAAAAAGAAACATCTTTCATAATACATAACAAATACCTGAAAAGCTAAATTTCTTATTACAATTCTGGCTCGTTTCTTTTGTTTTCTCATCTTGTGTAACTTTCTTATCTTTTGTTTTCTCAAGTTACTCTTCTCTTTTGTGATCTTTCTCTGATTATTACTAATGTCATCGTTTTCTTTTTGAGTATCCTGAGAAGGTCCTTCATCTTTATCAATTTCTTGATTTTCAGCAATACTTTTTTCAAGTTTTTCAGAGGATTTGAGTTTTGATATAGCCCAGTTACTGCTTATGTTCCTTCCTAAAATGAGCAATGCATGTTGTGTATGTCAAAATCATTTTTTTTTAAGCTTGATTTTATAAATACCAAGGAACTCCTTTTTATTCGTATTAAATATCGCTTTTGAAGCATCTTCAACACGTTTAAAGTCTATGAAACATCCCACTGGATTTCCATCTGGACGCTTCAAAAAGTTTATTTCTTTGATTTCACCAAATGGCTCGTAAAATTTCTTTACATCTTCTTCCGTTGCCTAAGAAAATATAAGTATTATATACTAAATTAATTTATGTAAAAAGAATAAAATATTAGTAGATGGAATTCTTCCTTCTAAAATTAAAATACATTTAATTTTTCTATTTTATGTTGAATGAGATATTCACACATGTATACCTTAAAAGATAAATTCTTCACAATTATTCGAGAATTCTGTTCGTTTATGTTTGCAGTATCCGTTACTTTTACTTCAGAACTTTTTGCCCTTCTTAATTTAGCCTTCTTTCGATACATCCAAGATAATTTTTTTCCCTTTTCCCTTTTTTGTCCTAAATAATATAAATGCTACTTACACAAATTGAACTAAATCATCGTTTTTATATATATTGAGCTATTAAAGTTCTTACCATAAGATGGTTTACCCATTTTTTAAATGTCAATTTTTTGTAACAAAATATATTCGTAATTCAGAGCAAAATAATATCAAACTCAGATACAAAACGTCATAATTTACAATAATCGATTTATAATCACATGAATAAAATATCCAGTTCTTTTTTTTTCTCCAAGTTTCTTTCGGAAGGAGGTTAAGTATATCTTTAACTTCTCCTTCAGATTATGTAGAAAGATCGTCTCTATTTCCAATCCCAGTATTCTTGTATTAGTTTTATATACCACT